ACGCCGATCTAATTCGCTTGTATTTTATGATTGTCAGAATCAGGACTTTTGTCGGTTTTTCTTTGTTTCGAAATAAATGGAAACTTTTCAGGAAATGTATAAGAAACATAAAAACCATACTGTATCATTTCCCCTTCTCATAATTGTCTTTGAGTTCAGATGATAATACTTTGCGTACCCATAGCATACGTATATGCAGTATCCAAAATTATTTTTCAGTCAGAACTATTTGCCAATAATACAAGTACATAATTAATAGATAAAGGTTGTTGGAGTACCTACTTGTGCAAGTAACCCTCGTTATCCCTGGGCTGTGCGGCCATGGACTATTCCGCGAGTCTCGTCATTTATGGCTTTGCTCTAAAAGGCTAAGTGTAACATGCATGCTACTTTATAGCATGAGTGGCTATAAAATCTGGTAAGTTACTAATATGTACCATAAAAAGTTGAAGCGACGATTGGCAATAGAAATAATAATTATATTTTGTTTTATTTATGAAAAGGCAATTGAAAGAACTCACCAATGTAATCGAAACAAATTTGAGAAAATAATTAATTCATTTAATTCATCTAATGGATTCATTAGAGAAGCGGTTTATTGTGAGAAAAGCTTAAAATACGATAAGTATTATATAAGTAAATACAATAAAGAGATTATAAATACAAATTTCGATTTGTCTATGTTTGATATAACTAAACATTATAGATAACATATTATCTATAATAAAAATGATAGATTATTATTTTGTCATAGGATGCCAGTTATCCCTTTCTGATAGAGTGTAAGTTAGTTACTCAATCAATTAGTTCATTAAGCTAGTCGTTCTTTAGTTCCTTTTCGTTTCAGTATGACTACCATTTTCATCCATTATTCCATTTACAATATTAAAATCAAATTAAATTGATTGCAAACTCAACTCCCGATTGCTTGAGCAACATCTGTCAAGCAAACCTATTTCATGCGATGTGCGTTACTCAATGAGGTAATTACCGCGGGTACGCAGAGCTACTGGTCTCAATTGCTTTATTTGGTGGCACAAACATTTTGAGCGTTACTAACATCCATAAAAGCCAATCTGCATTAGTTTGAGTGCAAAAAAGAGTGGTGAAGCGTTTTATTTAATTAATTTTTTCTTTATCCATTAAAGTCTAATTTGCTGTATGGCTATTCGGCTACCGAAAATGTTACCGTAAAAAATTTAATAAACTTATTAAATCTACTTGAATTATTTTGAAATGTCGCTGTTTCTAAATGTTTGAAGTACTCATAATACTCTGACCAAATTACTATTACACTATTCACTATAGGATCGGTTTTTACACATGGTTTTCAGCACAGGATAATATCTGTCTTCTAAAACTGGTGAGAGTCGCTGCTCTTGATAAGACAATATAAGTTTATTAAAATTTTCAAAATAAAAAATTAATAAACCCCTATCATTATATAAAATAACTTAATCATACATTGAAAATGCCACATTATAAAATACCATTAAAATTAAGTTCAAATATAGACTTAACCAAAGAGTAAAAAATATGAAAGAAGCAAATATTTGTGCGACTTAGGCTAAGTTGATGCTAAACCAAATTGGACTTTTCTTGGGATTTCTTGCACTGCACACATTTAGACAGTTATCAACACGTATCGACACATCACTATATTATCGGCACAACTTAGAATTTTCCTTATTTAGAACGCAACTTAGCCTAACTCGCACGCAACCTTAATTGAAATTGTGCTCTTTAACTGCACCAAAAAGAGTATATAATATTAATAAATTGTTTTTATATTTGTATAAATATATGCACTTGAAAATCTTATAAGAGAAGAAGTTATTGATAATAAAATTTATTATATATTAGGTTTGAAGGAATATAACTTGTGTTTGTGGTCATTGCATCACTTTGAATAATTATTTGCGCTATTCGAATGTAACCTTATCGTTTTACTTCGACTTACAGAAGTCTAAAGTAAATATATTTTAAGAGTACATCTGAGGAAATTGCAAAGTACTTCCTCGTCAAATGCATTAGAACCGAGATAATACAAGAGTTTAAAATTAATGAAACTTTATATACAATATAAATATTCTATAAAGGATCAGTCTTGCCAATATATTGTGCTTTGATGGAACAATGGAACAAATATGTTTTGATCATTTCCGTGAACATATTTTAAAACAAGTTGGTAAATTCTAGTAATCGCCTGTTTCATAAGAGATCTTGCTCACTTAGGCTCTAGGAAGCGGGACCATTATGTTCTTACATTTTTCAAGCACTCTACCTGATTTAAGGAACATCACGTAATGACACTCGGCTTTGGAACTCTTGGTTCGAATATACTTATTTGGATTATCACCAGAACACTGATGATATTAAACAAGCATTAGGAGAAGGAGAAGGATGATACTAGAGTTAACATACGCCTTCTTTCGAATGCCAGAGTCCTTTGATCCCTTATTTAATTGAAACCTTAATTAAAGGATTAAACCTTTATTCTTTGGAAAACAATCAAGAAATGGATTTTGAATGCTTTAAAAACTCTTATCCATGAATTCTGCCCAAATCCCATAGATCAATGCGTGCAATAATGCAATTTGTATTGCACTTTACTTATGTGGCAATATTAAGAAATCATTTTAGTTGCGCAAATGAAAAAATGTCGTTCTTCGCAGCGTTCGAGTAGAATTTCTAAGTGTTTGAAGCACATAATTTAAAATGTTTTAAAGTGCCTTATAAAGCGAATCTTAGGTGCAGCACAGCACGAATAAAGGTTCCAAAAATTCAGATATTTCAAATTGAAATATTTTTCCAAAATTAAAGCAATTTGCCAGATTCCGCAAATATCAACGAACAGTGTTTGAGCTTTTCAATGTCAGTTGCATATTTTTTTTTGTTTGACTGCCTTAACAATGACAAATGCACTAGAACTGTGCCAGAAATGGAACAATGTTGCTGAAAAAAGTATAGTATTTTAGAAATTTCAAATCAATTGAAGTCTTAATTAAAATTCAACGCAAACAACTTAATTACAATCTCAACTGATGATTCACCGAACGGGTTTCAATCGTTCTACATATTAAAGTTGAGCTTAGAAGTTTCTAAGAGCACTACCAGGCTATTAACGAGAGAAATTAAGTAAACTGAGCTCTGAGAAGGATGTATATTAAAATTTTGTTATAACAATAAGAAAAACAAGAAAGGAATGAAAAATTTTTAAATAAAAATTGAAAAAAGGAAACATTCACTGAAAGAATTTTAACTACTTCGAATATGGAGTGTCAAAACAAAACTTCGGTCTGGGGAAGTATTACCACACACTCTATCTAACTGAATATTTCTATCACACTCTATCTTTATTGTTCTCTCTCTATCAAACTCTTTGTCTATATCTCATTCTTTTTCTAACTAACTCTCAGTCTGTTACTATATCTCTTTCTCATTCTTTCTAATTGAAAATAAAAAGGTATTTATCTCTCTCTATCTCTCTTTCTTTCACTATCCACTTCTCTCTCCAACAGAAATAGAAACATAAAAGACTTTCCTAAAAGACATGATCTTTAGATTTCACTGTTTTTATATCTCAATGCTTTCAACTTCTCAACACCCTAGCATCGAGGAACTATGTTACTCTTATGTGGGTACCGGGACACGAAGGGCATGAGGGCAATGAAATAGCAGACTCCCTAGCAAAGAAGGGTGCATGTACTTCTTTCATTGGTCCAGACCCCTTCTGCGGGGTAACAAATAGCTTCACAAATAGCTTATTGTGTGAACGGGAGAAACATCATCTACTTCAACACTGGAAAGCCGAAACAGGCATGCGACAGTCAAAAAGATTCATTGATCCTGATCACATCAAAGTTGATGCTATCCTTGGCCTTAACAGAAACGATATAAAAATCTACACTGAACTTCTTACAGGACACTGTAGACTTAATTACCACATGAAGATTATAGATGTGGTAGAAAGTGACTCCTGTCGACTCTGTCATGAGGAAAGGAAACATCAGAACATGTTCTATGCAACTAACTAGCGGTTGCAAGACGTAGACTCGATTACCTTGGACATATTCCCGTCAATAGTAATCCACAGCAATTACAAGATTTATAAATAGTCTAAAATTGTCCTAGTTGGGCCTTTAGGCGCACAATAGATCTTTTAGGTCAGGATGCTTCAATAGCCTATTACTTAAATAAATAAATATCCAATTTCTCGATATCTCATTCTCTCTATACACACTCTCGTTCTATCATTCACTCGCTTTATATTACTTTCTTTACCTCACTCTTTCACTCTACTTTTAGACTTTAAATTATTTCACTCCATATCTCTCCATTTTTAGTGAGAATGAAAAGTATATTTATCTCCTTTCACTCTCTCTTTCTCTCAATATCTCATTCTCTCTATATATTACTCTCACTACATCTTACTCTCTCTATATTTCACTCTCTTTATATCTTACTTTCTTTATATATCACTTTCTCCCACTCTCTCTTTTTCTCTATATCTCATCATTTTCTATTTTGAGATATTGAGTGAGATATTTCTCACTCCTTCTCTATCTGACCCTCTTCTTGTCTCACTCTCTATTCAAATTGCTCTATTACACATATTCTTTATCTCACTCTATCTACCCCGTTCTTTCATTCTCACTATGTTTCACTGTCTCTAAATCCACTCGTAGTTTCTCTTTTCTGACAACTTGATAAGTTCTTAATTTTTTGAGATATATTAGTATATCCGAAGAGTGCATAAGACGATAGTGAGCATTTAATCTATTATTGGAAGGGAATCCAAAATCGACTCGACGTTATTCATAAATTCAGATATAATCATAAAATCGACTTGGAATAGATAAATATAAATGACTGCGAATTTAGTGAAGAAATCCTATTACTCAAACCAAGTGGACGATTTTGACCAAATTTTTATGCTTTAAATTTTAGAATGAATTTTGATTTATGGGCATGTAATGTATCTACACATTTGCTTCAGATAGTTTCTTTGGGATATTTCACATTTTACTTCAGCGCAGATATTTCATGTTACAAGTATTTTTCATTTTTCATTTTTCATTGAAATGCGTAAGAGAAACAATTATGGCGATTCCGGTGTAGCGACGAAATACGTTACAACTGCTCTTGGCCAGTCACAGTTAATGCATCTTTTGTCTGTCCAACTAATATGTGGCTTCTTAGCTGAAGCCAAGAGTGCGTGCCTCAGTAACTACAGGCCTACAGGCCAATGGTTGAACGCTTAAAACGATTCTGTGATCTTTTTGCTTGATTGTGCGTTTATCTATTTTCTATGTGCATTTTTTCTTCTAATTTTCATTACTTACATATAATATTTTGTTGCACTAAACTGAATCGAAGTATAAAAGTATCTCAAGTTTTTGAATTGCAATGCAGTTTCATTACATATTGCTTAGTGAAAAGTTCGAGATTTCGTTTACGCATTAACCACCGCTTCGATCTTAGCTACTAACTATTTTCGTACAAATATGAAGTTTCTGGTAAACATTCAGATATTCTAAAAACTTATTAGAATATGGATTTAAGCAATAAAGACTCATTCTGTTATCCTTTTCAGATTCTTCTCGGCTTAATTGCTGCATCAGCTGCCGCCCCAGGCGGTTTACTTGATTATGGACATGATCTCTCATATGCCGCACCAGCTGTTGGCTATGCACATGCAGGCCCCGTTGCCGTAGCTGCAGCACCAACTATTGTCAAATCAATTGCTGCTGCGCCTGTTGCAGTAGCAGCCCCTGTAGCTGTTTCTGCTCCTGTTGCTGTAAAAGCAATCGCCGCTCCAGCAGCTACGAGTTATTCATCATTTAGTCAGGTGAGTCGCACCTATCGAAGTTTATTCAAAAAATATATGAAATAAATAAAGTAGAATAAAGTATAAAGAATAACATAAATGTATTTTTCCCATTTGTGTGTAATCACCGCCTACTCTTGTAAGAGTTCCTAATACACCCACTTAACAACTGTACATTCTACTTCCAGGTCACACACTCAGCTCCAGCTGTCGTTAAATATGCCGCCGCCGCTCCTGCTATATCATACGCAGCTGCAGCTCCCGCCATTTCATATTCCGCTGCACCTGTCGTAAAATATGCAGCCGCTGCTCCTGCTATATCATATGCCGCTGCTGCTCCCGCCATCTCATATTCTGCTGCACCTGTTGTAAAATATGCAGCCGCAGCTCCTGCTATATCATATGCCGCTGCTGCCCCTGCTATATCCTATGCAGCTGCAGCTCCCGCCATTTCTTATGCCGCCGCACCGACTGTAGTCAAATACGCCGCCGCTGCACCTACATACACAGTAGCCGCTGCACCATCGATCGTCAAATACGCCGCACCTGCAGTTTCACTCGGTAGTTATGGTGGCTTTTCCAGCTATGGCGGCTACGGGGGTTATGGTGGTTATGGTGGTTATGGAGGTTATGGAGGTTATGGAGGTTATGGAGGTTATGGCCATGGCTACGGTCATCTGTTGCATTAATTTTCTCATAATCACTCACATAACGACGAAGGATAATCGGCCGAAGGATAATAAGGATAAACGTCATTTCTACAATATGCCAGAGTCATTTTAATATTCTTATGTTAACATTTAGTATTTCTAAAATATTTGAAAAAACAAATAAAAATAATGGAGCATCAACGTGAACCTCAGAACAACGAAGGAGTAAAAATAACAGCAACAACAGCCGCGCATTGCAAAGAAAACGAATTTATAAAAACATTAAAAAAAATAATTTAATAATTATTAATAATTAAAAATGTATTAACGCTTTAATTTTAACTAATTTCATTTGTTGTATGGCAAGGAGAAGAGTTCAAAGCTCATCGAGCTGAGTACGAAGACATTTGGGTTTGATCAGGTCCAAAAGTGAACTCATTGGATTATTCTGGTGATCTTAAGAGTCTGCGAAAATTATAATTAGGCGAAAATAAATAAAAAATAGTTGAACTTTTTTCATAAAATCAAAACCTTTTATTCTACTTTATTATACTTTAAATTAAAATTACAAGCAGTACTATATACACATTCATAATAATAAAAAAGAACATATTCAGGATCTTGGCAATGCTGTGCCAAGGTGTTTGCTGGGCACTGATGAAGTCGTTGGCCTGAAATAAAAATCATATATAGAAGATTTATGATATCAGTACATAAGTATCATTACATATTCTAATAATACAATCAAATTTTAAGGTATACGAATAGGTAAGTCAGGTCGGGACCCTAGTCTCAAATGGCTCTTAAGAGTCAACTACTACTATTAAAAGAGTCTTACTATTCAACGAAGAATCATTCATTTACAATTAATGTATGATAAATCTATACATAATGACAATAATATTAGTATCGTTTTTAAACGGCAGTCTAGTAAAAAAAGTCGACCGTTTGGATTTACCAAAAATTAGAGTAATAAAGAGTGGATCGTGTGAATAAGAAAAGATTTTACAATAGCACTTAAATGTGATAACGTTCTGGTTTTATTGCATTGCCTTCGAAACCTAAAAAAGTTTTAAAGAATCAAATCACACGATATGGTCGGCCTACTAGTTTGTATAGTACTATCAATGATGATTAAATTGTGACTCGAAAATACGAAAAAATAATTATGAGAGATTCCAAGCTCTCCTGATATGACGAAAAAAACTGACTTAAAACTAAGATACAGTTGTGATAACTTGAGACGACTAAAGGAGTATTTAAAAGAAACTCTAGACAAGAGACTGTCAACTGCTGACAATGAACAAAATTCCGAGCCTTGGTTTGATGAAATATTGGATTGATTTGAGATGAGTAAACGCAAGTTACAGTTGCGATAAATTGTACATACTGAAGGAGTATTTGAAGAAAACTCTAGACGAGAGTTTCTCAACTAGCAAATAACACCACCTTTCCATAATATATACTATTTTTATCTTTAACTATATCATTTTTTACTAAAATGTGCCTGTACTGGTCTTTGGAAAATACATTGAAAATGCTTTCGATCAGCCGTACTTTATGGATTAGGAAACACTGCTCTATAGTATACTTTAGAAGTAGTGTCAATAAAGGAGATAAAGAAGAATAATAAGACTTAATTAAAAATATTTTTATTAACAATCTAAAAATTTGTTAATAAGAGGTACAAATATATTTCAAAGAGAATAGAGAATACAGAGAAAATGAACGAATCTCATATTTAACAATGATTCCGAAGGCATATAAGATAGAAAGTAAAGGCGAAAAAACATAGAATAACGATTTAGACTCTGTTCTAAATAAATTTTAGGATCTTAAGAGGTAAAGATGTTTAATTGTGTGCGGTGGTCGATTTGCATAGATAGACGATTGAAAAGAGATAATTCTCACACTAGGCAATACATAAATTAGTCAATGAAATGGGTGGGACCCTGTAGTACCCCCAGCTATCAAAGAGTAAAAGTGCCCATTGTGCTGACTCGAAAAAAGGATCAACATACATACATTCTATGAACTTAACACTATATATGCACCTTTCTTAGTATATTTCATCAATATAAAAGAGTGCTTCCTCCAATAATTCTTTAGAATGAATAATGTCTCCCGTAATTACTTTTAAATCTGACGTCTTAATTTTTTTAGGAATTTCTTATCATCATTTTTTAACAGTTTTTAAAATTTTAAGAATAACACTACCATATAATATTTTACCTATGATATCCATTATTTGGATTTAATATATATTTTTATTATTTAAGATTAACTAATTCATTTTTAAAATAAATAAAAAAATTAAATATAAAATCAAAAAACTTACATCCGCAAAGCGCATACAAAGAGACACTCTCAATGGTGTTGAGTTTATGAGAAATATCACCCAATCCCACGGTTCTCTTTTAGGTGGGTATAAGTCGAACCAAATAATGACAATGTGTAATATATAACAAAATGTAGTAATGCTCATCAAATGCTGGTAGGCCACCACTGCCAAACAAATAATAATAACTAATTAATGAATAAAAAACATGAAGAAAATATTACTTAAATTTGGTACATAAAATTGTGGAGCATGTTTCGTCATGAACATTAAGCCCAGAGCCGAAATTAGAAAACAGAGTAGAATAAGTCCGCCACGGCGATAGCCACGCAAGAAGAAAGACAGTATGAGCAGTGTATTGCAAGCTGTGCAGTAGAAAGAAAATAAAGTATATTTCCATAAAATATATATCAATTAATATCAGTAGTATTAAGGGCTTACTCAAGAAAGGCATCAAAAACACTTTTCGATAAAAGGAACCATTTCTTGCGATTGTCAGCTCGATAGAGATATCACCTTCGAGAGTTTGCATAATGCCATCCTTAGTAAAACGAGCAATACTACCAATGCTGGTGTCATTAACATCTATAATCATTCGAGAAACAGCGATTTGATGGAAGTGCCATTCAGAGATCACATTAAAAGGGTCGTTAGTGAATGGCTCGTGATTATCATACAATAACTCCAATTGCTTATAACCAATGGCCATCGGTTCATTTATGCCCATTAGAAGGTCACATGTCAGAGTCTCACTTGGCCAATTTTTCTCTTGATTAGTGCACCATGTTTTCATTTCCAAGTTATGTGCGAACATGACCACACTGCCATTTGAATGTATTCTCAGTTCCACATTTAATGCAGATGCAAATTGTTGTAATTTAGCGTTACTAAGGGATATAATAGATTAGGTGTTATCAGTAAGGGAAGATGTTTTTTTACTTACTTCAATACTATAACATTTGGCTTCCATATCTTAACTTCAGAACTTACTATAGCATCGATGTTCTCGTAATCGTTAGGATCCCAAACTAATTTACTATCCTCCCAATACTTAATCATATAATTTTTTTGGTATATTACTACCATATATTACCGATAACGTATAGAACTTACCAATATTATATTCATACGTGTCTGCAGAATGGATTTATCCTGCTGATATGAAACAGCCAATATCTGAAAAGCGAAGTTTACTGTTTCCAGTTCATCTGGTATAGTTTCATTAATGCTGTTCTGTTCAATTTCCTTCAGCAAACGCACCCTTGGCGACATTAAACGCACTTCCTGTTCTATTAAATTACCTGTCATCCGGTAGGAAACAAAACGTTCATTTTATTAATCAAATTCTTATCAGAGTTACTTGCAATAATTGTTACGAGCAGATCTGAAATATATAGGAGCTAGTTTTAACCTCACCTTTATCCAGTTTGCAATCAAAGAACCATTTTGCCATCGTACCGCTACCGAACGAGGCCAAACTAACGTAATTAATCTTCAGCGGGGAACTATCAGTGAAATTAAGCAGCGGCTTATCCTTGAAACCGGGTATATAAACAAGCAAATCACCTTCTACAAAGCAACATAAATAAAAATATTATATATATAAGTATACATGCACTATTATTCACATACCTATTGTTTGTATAATTTCAATGGGAGTCGGATCAAGCGTTGATAAAATTTGTGTGTCTTGGTTAGTTGCAACACGGCGCTTCCCTATGCTGGTACGAATGGTGGAGAATGTATTGCCGCCAGCACCAATGACTAATGGAATGCGATAAGAAATTGGATTAGTAATACATAATTTTTTTACGGGCTTGCTTTTAGGCTTGATTTCAGTAAAACGTGAATCTTACCGATTTCATAGACTCTATCCATTTCTCTGGGGTGTTCTGTAACTGATAGCAATATATGTGCATCCTTTGGCGTCAGGACATAAAACATTAGATGCAAGCGTTCATGTGTCTCGATGTCGTTGTTGTTTAAGTTATGCACCAGGAAGAAATCCTTGTACACATATCCAGTGCGTATAATATCGTATTCTGTACAAGATTCCAGTTTTGCAAATGATATATTATACTTGCTGGCAGAACTTAAGGTTACCAAATTCAAGCTCAATACTAGGCAAACTCTTATCAACAAGTCCAGCACTAAATTCATTTTCTAATATTTTGTACATATATAATTTCCACGAACTATTCACGACGGCATTCAGCAAATAACTGAATGAAGTCACGATTTCGCTACAAATTCGACTTAAAATACTATACACATCTTTATCGCAAACATACGAAATGCTGCAGACTTTCTGATTAAGTCCCGCTTAGCTCAGTATATCGATAAGAAATAAAAACATGTGGGCAGAAAAATTTCACAAATTTTCTCGCATTGTAGTTGAGTTTGTGTTTATAATTTCATTTTATTTCTTATTTGAATAAATATTTATTTATTTTTCACATATTTTATAAATTAAAATTAAAACATCAATAATTAAACTTCGAAGTTGGCGGGATAAAATATTAGCATGGACAACAACCACATACATGCATTAAAATTATTTTGGTAATGGAATAAATTATTTATACTAATATATATATTTATACTAAATAAATGGATTGCTTTTGCAAATATACTACATCTCGACTAACGCTTTAAATATAATACGAATTCAACGAATATGGTTTTAATTAGTAAGAGAAATTGTAAATAATATTAATATGCTAAATTCTTTTTAATTTTATAATTTTTGATTCGAATCTTCCTGTTGGTAATGCCATTTTGACACTTCGACTTTTGTTCGAATTTCGAAATTGCTGTAACCGGCTGTCAAATAAATTCTACAAAGGGGCATTTGTTATGATTGAGTGTAGCTGAGTAAAAACAATGTTTTTTAAAACACGTTAATTAATTTGCATTTTGATAGGAATAGTTTATAGTTTAGTGAATTTCATATGTTTACACAAATGCGAAATGGTGCAAGCAAACTAAAATATAAAATGTGGTACGTGTGAAAACATAATAATAGGAAACAGTAAAATCTCCTATTAAGTATGAACTAAATGTTTTTTAAAATAGATTCATAATTATTTGATATGAAATTTTATATTAAATCACAAGCGAAAAGACCACTAATATAAAAAATGTGATATGAAACATCAAGTCCAAGTCAAGCAGTAAAAAACAAAAACACTAACAAAAACTACGTAAACAAAAGCAACAGCACTAACAAAAACAACAACAACAACGAGAACTGCTGATAATTAACCAAACAATAGCGGCAAAACACGATTCCAAGCCATTCCAACAGCGTAGTTTTTAGTCAATTTTTGTATTCCAATTTGAACGGTTGTGGTTTGTGGCGGTGGAGCGTATCTTATCAGAGTTTTCATTAGAGTAGAATTTTTGTGATAAATAAATCCCGCCAACCAAGTGTTTGTTACATTCATTTAGTGCAATTATTTCCTATAAACACAATTATACAATTACAAAGGTAAATAAAAAAAAAAAAAAAATGAAAGAAACGATTTTATAATTATTTAAACAAATTATTTATTTGAGATCAGTAATTCACTGACACAAAGAAACCAAGAGCCACCAAATAAAGAAGTTCGAATTTGTTGGCAGCAGCATAGGAAAAAGAAAAAAGAAAGTTTTCGGTTTCTTGCATTGACAAAAAACGCAAGCGCGTTGCCCTCAAATAATTTTGGTTACCTGCAACGCCGACGACTTTTTTCTTGAAGTCTTTCTTTAATGAAGCGCTACGTAACTTTTAAAGGTGTGTTAGGTTTCTTACTTGCTTGTGAACGAGTGAGTAATCTCAAAAGAATGATAAGGCGGAATTATAAATAGTGTGAACGCTTAAACTGTGTTCCGTTTGATAATGAAAACACATTGAACTTTAAACATTAATACTCACAATTAATATTCTTAATTATAATTAAGTTTTTAATAAATATTATTAACATAAATGAATGCTGATGATTACTATATATATACATATACTAAGTTATTAAATTTACGGATTATTTTCAATATATCTCCTCTGAGACATTATATCAAGAGTGTGTCAGCAATTACTATAACTGCTTTTAATCGTTCCATAGAAATCTAATTCTGTTTTACCATTATCATTAGAATCGGTGATACAGAATGCTTTGATAGACGATATATTGTGGTTGGTAGTTACAAAATCCCTCTAAATTGAGCACCAAACTGGTTCGAAACTGTAGAAATTCCAAACATAACTGAGTTAGCTAGTATAAGCAAAGGAAAACTTTTCTGCATATTAGTTACTAATTCCCAGTTAGGTTAAGTGGTACTTAAGTGTTCAATATTGACCACTAAAGTAATAATTAAAATTTTAACATATCTATGCCATGTCAATATTAAACCGAACTTAAGTGTGCATTGGTTAGCTTTCAAACTAAACTAAGATCTGCATTCATAACACAAAGCATTTCTATAGGATGTGCAGAACATAAAAACGTTATAACTTTATTGACGACTTCCAAAAACATTAGGTGGACCAAAAAGCTTAGTTAAGTTAACAATTAAAGTGACAGATTTCTCAGTCTAAATAGCTCTAAATTCAGATTGAATATTTGTTTCTTAAGTGAACGCAGTTTTTACAAAAATGGGATTAAGGAACGCGAAACTATCTCAGTAGTTTTCTAAACTACTGAGTGAAGTATAAAAACATCTCATGTACTCTTACCCTCTATTATTACGAAACTAGTACTGTTTTTCCATCTTTTCCTCTTCAATGAATAAGGTTTGAAACTCTATTTAAAGGAATATTGTTAGGTTTACTAATCGTTTTAACTTATTCGCTTTAGTCTATGAGACTTTTAGGCATAGCTCTTGATAGCTGTTAAAACTCTATGCAGACTCTACAAGTAAATCAATACTGAGGAGTGTTGGGTGAAACATAAAAATAAAGTTCTATGTTTAAGTTGCTGTTTATAGCTATATGAGATTAAATTCTACTAATCTACTAATATATATAAGATGTTCGTATAATAGATACGTGATTACTCTTTATGAAAAACACACGATATTTAAAAAATTGAAAATATTTTGAATATTTCAGAAGTTCGTTTGGAGTATTGGTTGTAAAGCTTTCTAACAAAAGATACTGCAATATTAAAAATGCATTTACTGACAACTCAACTTTTTTCGTATCTACAGTTAAGTTTACTGTTCCACACGCAATCCAAGCGCCAGATCTTTTATTTCTAATTTATTCACGCATGATTACGACTAATTATATTCACGCATACATTAAGTGACTTGCCATACCGCTTTTCTATACGAAGACTCACACAACTATTTTGGTTTCTGTTTGTTTAATTTCGACTCTGCCATCGGGCTTTTATATTCTAAGCCAGAAAGCATTGCCTCCGCTTGGTAGAAACGTTCTTGTGTGTGGTTATTTGAATTTGGTAGTACACCTTTCTCCTCTCAATGCCGCTTTATTGGAAAATGTTAATGTGTAACGCTCTTTTAGCCGAAATCACGTTTTTCCCTAAAAAATTTGGAAACTCAATATTTTGTGGCACTATGAAGAAGGCTTTCTTACTGTCTTTCGGGGTCTTCCAGGCTCGAGCTCCGTCCCTTTGTTATTGTGGGCGATACCCGTTTTAACACAGTCTCTTCTCTTGTGTTTTATCATCTTTTCCTATTTAAGCTATCTTCGATTTATTGTTAAATTGATTTGCATTTTAAACACTTCGACCATTTTTAACAACTTCTTTAGACGTCGAGCTATAATTTTCTACAAAAATCAAATCGATTTGAAGCATTTTTCTTCTATGGAAAAAAAACTTTCTTTAGATTAAATTTAATCCAATTTTTTAACTTAAGTATTTATTCAATAGTTTTCCTATCTTAGAGTCACATAATTATTTCAAGATGCTTTCTTCGTATTCAGTTGCAATTATTGATTAATAAAACCTAAAAGCAGATGAATCGAAAGGTGGAAATCCGCAGAGTCACTGTAATGCAACTTCTAGGAATTACAGATATTTCGTTCTTACGCTTGCATTGCTTATTATCTTTAAAATATTTTATATTTAAAATCTGTGCTTGATGATTGGCAGAAATTTTTATAGAGCGAGTTGGACATTTTTTACTAATGTTATTGTTAGGCAACTTCATTCATTTCTGTACACAATCTCCAATAATTTCTTTAATAGATTGTTTCGATGTTAATGACAATAAAATTGTAAAACTAAGAATCATAAACTTTACGTAAGACGAAATTGTTAAATTAATTACCCATAATAATATTATTATTTACAAATCTATTGTTTTAGAATTTTAAAATCATGATTGGCATTTATTTAATAGTCGTCTCGTGGATGTTTTTTTCCAATACTCCAGTAATGATCGTATTTGTCTTTTTTTTATAAAAAGAATCCGTGAAGGTTTGGTTGGGTGACTTCCCACATATCTGCCTGCCTTTATTTAGATGAATTCCGAGGTCTCTACCTTTAGTTTCCATAAGGGCATAGAGGAAAAATAAATTCCATCACATAATTCGCGATGAAATGTTTACTACAGATTGCCTTTGATGACTGCAATAACATGGCGGAATATTTATAATTATGGCAGTCGACAATTCTTCTCGGGCGTTGTAATGCATTTCAAAGTATTTTTATTAGATCTCGATGCCTTCTGATAATAATTGATAAAAGTATGTACTTTAAAAAAGATAAAAAGGAATGAATAACTTCACTTCAAAATTCTACCGGCACATGATTGTCGATGTAATAGGCTATATAGACAAGGTAATGGACCAAGTATTTCAAAACAAAATCTTAAATAAATTATTTTAATATTACCAGAAAAATTACGATTTGCTTAGAACACAATAAAAATTAATGAAGTTTTGCTTTAAAAATATTTTTAACTTTCTGTTTAATGAATACTGGGTTCTCTCTTCCTCAATTTCAGCCTCAGCCTCAGCCTCTTCCCATCGCTTCAAAGTGGAATTATAACTTAAGGTTCACTAAGTGAAAGGGCTTAAGCTTTAAGTGTTCATTTTCAATTCCGAAATAAATAAATAATTTTTTTTTTGGTAAGACCTTAAAACTCTGCTAATTTTGAAGAATTGCACTCTTTCAATTAGGTCATTGTAGTGGTTCCGATATTTGCAGTAAATATTTTGTTTTTAATTAAAAAAGCATTTGTTTCGAAATTTGCAAAAATTGCATTTTCAACTTGGCACATATTTGCCAAGGCATTAACGTTGTTTATTTTCCTAAAAATTTATTTCTTCTAAAATATTAGTCAACACTCTGAAATGAAATATTTATTATTTCGACTTTAAGCGTTCACGTGAGTCTATTAGTTAATTTTACAAAAATAAAATGTATACTTGCTAATATTTAATGTGAACTTAAAATATTAAAAATTACAAACAATTGGCAAATTCTTAAATGCGGTACATCAGTTGAAGCGGTAGTTTCAGTTTCTAAGATAAATGGTTAAAATAAATATATGAGATAAATGTCAGCATATTTAACTTGTACTAGAATAATTGCAAGACTGTTTAAAACAATCCTTAAAACTTTATAATTTTGTCGCCTTTATTTATTATAATATCTTAACTGTACTTAATTTCTCCTATACAATAAACTAAATTTGATTATAGTAAATTATTATGAACTAGTTCAGAAGTTATTCTTATTCCTTATTGTGCGCTTCGCAGATAGATATTACAATGACACCACGATCTGTACAACCATCTCTCCACGTTACATATGTCCATTCCCTACATCATATCAATAATACGTCACTACTTGTTATAACTGAACCAATACCAGTGTTGTCTAGTATAAATGAGGTTCTCAACAGGCTCTCGTCTGATTTTCCTGCTATGAGTGTGATCAGAATTTATCATCGGCGTTTACGATCAGTCTTATTTAGATCAGAATTTAATCAATTTCCTGTCACGTTTATATAACGAGTGTTTTTTTAGCTAAATAAAAACTATCGATATCGATAATTATTGTTTGATAGTTGATAATGTCAACCTGATAATGCCATTTTTGTTCAGTAAGATTTGACAATTCATCATGAATCGTTATACGCTAGAACAACGCTTCCAAATTGTGGAAACTTACTTTGAAAAAAATAAATTTGTTCGAAAACCTAATAGAGCAGTTCTTCGAAGAATTGTGTTTAGTGATGTAGCTCATTTCTGGTTAAATGGCTTAGTCAAGCCGTTAATGAATCACCATCACATCTACTAAAATAGACTGTTTGATGTGGTTTACCCGCTGGCGGCATCGCTGGTTATTTTTCTTGCGAAATGAGGAAGGAACTGCCGTGAATTTTTGTTTCCAAAAATAAATTAGTTAAACATCGACAACATTTAGTTCTAATAAGACGACGTAACTTGCAGCGCGCTTAACAATCGATTTATTGCTAAATCAATTTGGTGAAAACTTTATTTTCAGAAGTGAGCCTATTAACCGGCCCCCTCGGTCGTCCGATTTAATGCCACTTGATTACTTTTTATCGAGCTATATTAAGTCATTGATTTATGCCGACAAACTAGCCACTCTTAGAGCAAAGGAAGCTATGTGGAATGTTCAGTCAAATTCCTAAGGAAAAGTTCTTGCATTCTACTTTTAACTCGCTTTCAAGTATCAGTATTCAGTTCATAAGCTTCTTTCTTGAAAATACAAGAATGACATTAATATATACATAACAAAATTTATGGAATGAAATCACACTAAGCAGAGTGTATATGAGTTTCGCTGCATAGCAACCAGATGAGTCTCTTCATTGATTCTCTGCTACTTCAATCGTCGCCTGTTTGTGCTGTAAATTAGCACTTTTTTGTCATTAACTTTAATATTATACTACGGGTTGCCTTGTTAAAACATAATTTGAAATAGAATTTTTATTGAAATGTGACTTACTGAGGTCAAACAATTTACATATTTGGTGCTACAATCGTTAAAGACAACCTCCGAATGCCACATTTTGAAGCCTTCTTATATTTAAGAATAGTTAAAAAGGTGTTAAAGTGTTAATTGGCAACTAAACTGTGTCAGAAAGTGCCATAAAATGAGTCCACATTTGGCTTAGCTCGGCTTGGCTTAGGTTATATGAAAGGCCGTAAACTTTTGTGTAAAGAGTATACACAATTAATTCGTTGCCTCATATAGGGAAAACATTTAGTCTTATAATGAACACAGAAGAATTAAAAGTTATTACAGTAACAAAATTAAGCAAGACAATATTATCTTCGTACTCTGTCGAGACTGGGGACTGCATCTCAAGAAACTAAATTGAAAAGCAGTCGAATGAAAAACAGGAAGGTGCATTTACTGCTCTTAAAATATAATTGCTTGATAGTTAAACATAAATAAAATTGGAAATGGTCATAATATCTGATTTTAAGTGCTAAAAATATGATTATTTGTTTTTAATAAGTACGAGTACATAAATGAATGTTTAAGTTTGCTACAAAGGAAGATACAGCAATGATTAAGACTGCCTGCAAATAGTATCAAAAACAAAGACTAAAAAAAAAAATGAATCATACTTATATAATTGACTTATCTGTAACAAATTAAACTAAGAGTATGTAGTATAATTTTATATTAGTATACCAAAGAGGATGTCCAAATAAGAAACTGATCGTTTATTCCATTAGCCAACCTCAAACAGCAAATGTTAAGTTTGTTTAAGTAATTACGTGTCAGTTGTTGACCTCTCTATAGGTAACTAATCGAATAACAACATGGTTTATATAACCTGTAGTCTCTTTGCGAAATATCTACTCTAAATGAGTCAATATACAGTACATACTAAACTACATCTTAATAAAGTAGATATATTAATACATTTATAGACATTTTCACGTAAAAGAATAAAAGTAGGTTTTATAACCTACTGTTGAATTTGGTATAACTCGGAGTGGATAAGTAAACACTATTACGTAGTCAATATTGATGACTGTTTGTAGAGGAGCAATCACTTTTAATACCATAACATCTGGACAAGTAATCCGTAAAATATTAATACCACCTGATATAATACACGGTTTGAAAGTATACACAAACATAATTTATTTTTTATATATATTGAAATCCATTCTTATTTTAACGACAATATGACAGTATTGACTATTTTTACTTTAATAGAATCTTTGTTATTTAATAGAGAGGTTTCAAATAGTAGTGAACTGCAACAACAAAAATTCATTTCATATTATTTCAATTAATTGAATTTTTGACTGACTCTACAGCTGTTACGAGTATTGCCAAATACCCATCATCAATGGTCTTGGAAATAATTATTCGTAAATAATTTTTTAAGACTGCAAATACCAGGAATTGAAAGCGTGCCCTGCCAAATTTGAAGCTCAGAGTCAGCGCTCCTTAACCAACTGACGAAGCACATTTTTCTGAAGTTTTGTGAATTTCATGTGAAATTTTTGTTAACAAATTTACTTGCTGTATTATAGTTTTTCTACTAAGAGGTAGTTGTAAATTACTACAAACTTCAAATTAATCGATATTCTTATCAGATGCCCAAAAATGCTACACAAGCTTTTAATTTTTTTCTTCTATGCGGGATTTATGTCTTAAGGCATCATCATAAAAGCAGTCTACATACTTTCTTTTGTAGGCATCTATATAAAAATGCCTTCCCAATATTTAGAAGCTATCGGCCTTAAATGCATAGTTTTCTAATGGAGCTTCTAATGGAGTGATATTCCTTTTTTCATTTCATTTTTTAAGATCTTCTAAGGTTTTCTAAGGTCTCAGTAAGATGTTAGGCGTTACCATTAGTGCACCACTGAATTATTAATAGATAACTATAATGTGAAGCGAAACTATCTTTGGTTTTTATAAGTCAAAAATATTTATAATGCGATTCTAAAATGCAAATTATTTTCCATTCTAGTTGAAATCAATAAACTGCAAGCCAAGTAAACCAACTCTACCTCAAAATGATTGGAATTATTTTATTGCTTGTATTGGTCGTCATAATAGCCGGTTTCTACTTCTCCAAAACTACAAAGGATATGCCAAAATCTTGGTATGAATGGAAGACAGAGTTTCGATATCAATTTATTGGCATGACTGGTCTCATACATGACTTCTCCAACGAAAGCAACGACAGAGTCGGTTAGTGTATTTTGTGTTTTATTTTTTTAAATAGATAAAAGTATATTAATCGCATTCAAATTCAATGTTTAGAGCTCTACAAACAACCTGGACGTGTTGCTATTATCACTGGTGGTAATCGGGGCATTGGTCTTAGAATTGTCGAGAAACTTTTAGCTTGTGATATTACCGTGATTATGGGTAAGTACACGATTACGATTACGATTACGATTGAAGCTGAAATTTATGTGTTAGCTTGGCATTTTATATGAACTGTAATTATTTGGAATTGTGCCCTGATGCAAGTTTCGATATTAAGAATCGTAGGAATACGAAGGAGTGTTGAGTGATTTTTATATCTACTAAATACGTGATAGGAAAGCATTTTATTCAGTGAATTTGATTCAAGTCAGATAAACCGATTTATTGTCACCACAGTGTAGTTCATGCAATTGTTGATTCCATAAGAAAACGAGTTCAGAATAATAAGTTGTCGAAATAAATAAATAAAAAAAATTACTTTGATAAATTTTAGCAAAAGTGGGATTTTTTTTAGCATTTTCTTAAATGTTTTTAAAAAATACATGTCATAAAAAAGCAAATAAGTCAAGTAAATTCACACGTTCTGACTTTCGTTTTATTTTTGAGTTAAGAGCAGTCAGTAATAATTTTTTTATTTTGAATGCAATTGGCGAAATATTATTTGAAGTAATTATTATTGAATTTCAGAAAAAATAAGAAATATTACATTAAATCGCGTTCTCTTTAGTTATATGGAACAGTTAATGCTTGCTAGCTTGTTATTGCTTATAAATCTTTAACAAGAGCTTACTTTTGCAATAAGAACGTGAATTGAGATATATTAATCATATTTGTTGTTCAAAAGCCAACCAAAAACAAAAAGAAGGTATAATATTTTCATAAAAATACATGTATTGCTATATAAATCTAGTCATCTATAACCACATTTAGAACTTTAAAACAAACTAACGGGTAGAATCGAATATTATCTGCCTTGTAACCGTGCACATCCAGTAGATAGATTAGGTTTGATTTCTTTAACCTTTAAGCCCACTTCCGTTGTGATACTACAGTACCTAATAGATAAAGAGAAACACATAGAAACTAGGAGTTCTAATAAGATCTTTGCAGCATATGCTAACAGAAGGAAGGAACACTATCTAGGCGTCCTTCTCTTGTTTTCTTGTGATATCGAAAACCCTATTAAATTTTTTAATAGATTGGTTTAGGTGAAGTGAATGGTGAATTTGGTTCAGGAACCCACACTCTTTAAACTTTTAAATTACTAGTTAAAAAGATGACTTCTAGTTTGGTGGAATTATGTTCGTGAAGTGATTTTTTTGACGCATTGTATCTAGTAGCTTACGGTTCTGTGTTCTCTCCTACTGATTTTTGAAATTTCATTAGAGATATATTATATGTCGCCTTGTAAATATTATTTTAATTTTGATTTGTTAATTATTTATTTAAAACTTCTACTCTCGTTTTACTTTTCATATATTTAACTATCTTATTTTGTTCTTCTATTTAAATATCGATCAAATTCCTTTGCATACATCTCGGCATAAAATTATAGCTATTTTAACCTAACATAATAAATTATACTCTTTTCTGCAGGTGTACGCGATCCACAAAGCGCTGAAGCTGCCGTTAGTAAAATAGTTGATCTCAAAACCACCAAAGGCAAATTGATTTGTGAACAATTGGATGTTGGCGAATTGAAATCAGTAAGACAATTCGCCGCAAAAATACAAAAAGACTATCCAAAAGTGGACATATTAATAAATAATGGTAATTATAATCAAGCGAAGTAATAAGAAAATTATAGACCAAATATTAATAAATAAATATGTCACACACACACTAATTATTTATTAATTTTTTTTATTTAAATATTTTTTAATATAAATATAAAATGTATAACAAAAACAGAATTGGTTAATGTTCGAAACATTTTATTTAAAAAATAGTTTCTTCCTTCATATATGATTTTAAATAAATTTCAAAAGTGTGAGAAGTGATATAAACGTAATGTATTGTATTTTTAATTATTATATATAATATTTAAATTTATAAAAATAATAATATTTAAATTTATCATATAACACAATATATAATATATATTTTATATATAACTACATGCATTGATTATAAACCGAACCAAACACTTAATTGGTGTCAATCAGACTTTTCAACATTTTTGATTTATAGTTATATCCTTTTCGTTAGGAATAACATTTTATTTTATTAGATTCTTATATATTCTTATTTAAATACATTAAGATTTTTAATTCACTAAACCTTTCCAATTTTTTCTAGAATATCTGATTGCCAGCCACTTATTAATTTCTTTTTAATTTAATTATTACTTTTTAATTTATTAATAATAATAATTTTTCTTTTACGTAGCTGGCATTATGTTTGCTCCTTTTAAACTCACATCCGATGGATTTGAGTCTCATTTGGCTATAAATTACTTGGGTCACTTCTTGCTGACGCATTTACTATTGCCACAACTGAAAGCTGCAGGGACCGCATCACAGAGAGCACGTGTCGTCAATGTATCTTCTTGTGTGAATTTGATTGGTCGTATTAACTACAATGATATAAACGGAGAGTAAGTTTTTAAATCTTTCATTGTTTAACTATTAAATATATTCGTAAACTATCTTATAGAAAATACTACTATCCTGCCACTGCATATAGTCAATCGAAATTGGCTCAAATCTTAGCCACACGCCACTTACAAAACTTATTGGACAAAGAAGGCGCATATGTACAAGTTAATGTTGTGCATCCTGGCATAGTTGATACTGATCTATTCGAGCATTCCGCCACAACTTCAGTGCCATTCTTCAAAAAGCTCTGCTTCAAGACACCTGAACGCGGCTCACGTACAGTTGTTTATGCAGCTATAGCGCCGGAAATTGAAGGTCAAGGCGGTATTTATTTCAGCAACTGCGTAAAAGGACCCATGCATCCTGCAGCTAAGAATGCTGAGAAGTGTGAAAAGTTCTTCAATTATACTTGCGAACTGCTGAAATTAAATGAGAAGCAGTAATTGAGGAATACTTGAGTGTGGAAAAAATGACAAGAGAAATGAGAAGAGCGACTGGAAGAGTTAAAGGATGTATATGAAGGCTTAGGAATGATTTAAGGGACAATTTTATAAAGAGCGCAAGTTTTCAATTAGGCACAGTTATGAATTTGAAAACACAATTTAAAAATTTATAATACATTTTTTACAATTTTATCCTAAAATTATATATATAATTTTAATTTTAAATCTTAAATTAATATTTGATTTCTATGTTTTATATTGAATTACATAAAATAATGATATAATATTTTTGTATTGAGAATTTTTAACCTTTTATTAAATTATTTTTATTTTTTAAGTTTTAAGTCACTTTAAATATAACAAATTATTTAGTTATGTTAGTCAGCTTAGTTTTGTAATTAATTTATTTAAATTAATTTAAAAATAAAAGTAAATATTTTACCAAAAATTTGAAATTCTTACGTCAGTACTTTGGACCGTTGAAGACCAGAGGTCATGAAGGCAATTAATTTTTGTAATTTAATTTCATGGTCGTTGTTGAAATATTTTCTTCATATAGTTTGCAAAAATTGTTTAGGAAAATTAAAATAAAAACAATTTTTTAATGTTTAATGTTTAAATACGGATTGTGCTATGCGCGGAATCAACGGAAGCAACTCATCTCCAGCTGCTTTGAATAAACCATTTAAACGCACAGCAGGTGCCTCAGCTCTCAAACTCCAAGCGAAGAGGCTTCGTCAAATATTACAACAACGTAAAAATTATGTACGCAATTATTAATATGTCAATAATATTAAAGACTCCCTCAGACGAGTCCGTGGGTGGTCCACATCATTCACTTTAACTATTTAATAGACTTTTATTAACTGCTAAACGATGTACGTACATCGAGGCAGCAATATCTGGTAATAAAATTTTAGTTGGTGTGCAAATATGTAAGCTTTTTTAACAACATTAATGATGACATGTGATGTGGATAAAATACTTTTTAATGATGAAGTGTTGTTGTTAATTGGTAAATGGTAGCGTGTCGGACAGGAAGAAGTTAGTTAAATAGAAAAGTACTAAATTCAAAATTTTTTATTGGGTCAGCTTGAGGTAAGAATTAATTGAATTAATTAGTTATGGGAGTAAGTTGTATGGACTCGAAACCGTGAGTCAGTAATTAGTGAGGTCACCCTAAGCTGGCTGACCTCACTAATTACTGGACATGTCAACTTCAAGTATCACCTCAAAAAGATAACTCTTGCTGAGGAAGACACTTTCAGACTATATCTAGAAGAAAAGGAGACAGCGGTGCATATATTGTGCCAATATCCAGCACTGGCAAGTAGGAGGAAGACTGTCTTGGGACACCATTGGGTTGGTGATGACTTGGCAGGCAACCTCAAGGTAAATGAGCTGCTTGCATTAACAAGAGATGTAGTTATGCGAACGAAAGCCACTCCAGCTTTAACTCAATAACGACATCCGAGAATAGAAGGACGAAAAAGGACCCAAGTAGTGAGGCCACTTGTTCAACGGTGCGCTGTCCCAACATCCCACCATAAGTGAGTAAGTTGTATGGACAGCCAAATTGCCAACAGCCCAAGTTAACTTTTACAGATGCATGAAATTTTTTTTATTTTGGAGATGAGTTCTTTTGACCACTCTTAATGGACAGAACTAAGAGATTTCATGGAAAAGGTTAAAACTGTAGTATCATTTAGGGCTACGTCCTGTCTGATGAGCTTTTGCTGGGGTCACTAGTGATTAAGCTCCATTCTCCTCTTACAACTCCTGTTGTTATAATTCTATGGAAAAAAGAATACTTGCTTTCTTACCCCATGATACCAGCCAGATCTAGTGCCAGTGGGGATTTCGAATTGTCAGTGTGAAATATATTAGTTTAACCCCTTAGCATGATCTATGAACTTAACTGTTGATCGGACGAGGAAGTATTTTTGTCCAAGGCGCATTGAAGCCACACATTCGTTCATGAGTATCACAAACGGCGGGCACCATTTGAAAGCTGGTGGTATATATACCTGTCTATGACCTCTATTAGATTCAACTTGCTTTACTTCATGAATTTTACGTGTAAAGGCAATGTAATATGGTTTAAAATTTTCTTTAAATAGCCACCGAAGTTATAGATAAAAACATTTTTGGATTATGATTCTTATAATTATAATTATCATGTATACGAGTATGATGACTGAAAGGAGTGTTATAAAATTAATTACTTCTTCAATGAAAACTCCAAATATTTTATAATAAAATATTGACATAAAAAGAAATTACTTACCTAACAAGAGTTTAATTGTTTTAATGTCTTTTATGTCAAAAGTGCGACTTTAAAAACTTTTACTGTCAATTTTATTCGTAACAAAGAGCACTGCTTTAGTTTGCAGACATCGATAATTACCAGTAAAGCCTTTCACCTGCCAACATAGCTTACACTTGAGCCGGTATGTCATGTCATCCCACTGAAACGATATCAATATTTAAGACTGTACCCGATGACTCCGCAAAATTTCCGGCGGTGCAAAATATGTTAACACTTTTTCTTTCATTTTATGTCTGCGAATTCGACATTGATCGAGTGACGCGTTTATACAGCATAAACAATATAACCCGAAAAGTACGCATTTGGACCAGTCCGAATTATAGGAGAGTGATAATAAATTACAAAAGTCAAAAATCAAAAATCAAAAATCGTTGCCTTTCAAATAAAATCGGGCAAAAAATTGCTTTGAAATCGAAACTCTACTCTACTCAACTTAAATGTAATCAATTTTAAACGCGAGCCTTCGCTGCCCTACGGCCAGGTTTACCATAAAAATTAACAATGATTTACCCTCCGCACTTTGCATAAATTAATTAAGTCTTCAATGCCTTGAAGTGGGCGTTCTATTTACTTTGTTCTTCTTTCTTTGTTGTATTTGTTTTGTCTATCAAATCTTTTATAATGATTTGAACAAAGAATATTTGACCTATATGCTGCTTAAACCTGTTGTACTATGTATGAGTTAAATGCATATAAGGATGATATATACCATCTCTTTTTGATTTGTAAACTTGATATACGTCGGTGTCTACACTAACTAGGCTTTGTCCAGATCTTCATGTTCGCACACAAATACGTATTATTTATGAATTTTGTTTTCGAACTATTATTTTTATGTCTTATTATAATAACATATAATGAATCTATTTCCTACAGTGCCTCTTCTAAAATCTTATAAAGACTTTATAAGGATATATTATTTCAACAGTAATTATTCTTATATTTTTACATTATCCAATAATATATAACATAACTGATACTATTTCAGGCTATTATTCATTTGTCTTTCTATTCAGTATTCATCTGTAATTTCATTTTGCTTATGATTTTATCATTGATAGTGTTTCACTATAAAGATTTTCTACAAATACTTTTTCTGAAAGTACAGTTTACTGCCACTTTGGCTGCTGTTGATATTGATGTATATAAATATGCCAGCTTAATTGAATCTGAATAAAATTAATTTGGGTTAACCACTTAAGGTTAGGTTAGGTTATACCGGCGATCCAATAGGGATCCACTTAGACCTATTGGCCCATTGTACTGTAGTATTATGGAAAAATTCAGAGTTAAACTAAGTTTTCAATTGGAACCTTTGGCGAAGCTTAAAATGCTGTTTAGTGAGAAGTTTTGAAGTTGATCAAGATCCTCAAAGAAGGAGATCCTACGATATTAAGTCAACGCCGTGTTCAATGTAATAGCATGGTTACTTATTCTAAAAGAATATGTAAGTAAGCCAACCATACTACTGATATCAGGGGCAATTCTCTCAGGGGGCATCTAAATGAGAGAGTTAGATTTCCCTTTAGTGGAACGTGGTCAAACTGCATACAGATGCTTACATATCGTTGAATCTTTCCATCTTTTCTTAAAAAGTTCTGCAGAAAGAACTCACTAAAAGTATTCATGTTGTTTCAATTGAGTTAATAATTATTAACTTAAATATATACGGCTAGCTATTTTTGAAATGAATCAAAAACTAATTGTTATCATAACAAGTATATAGTTATATTTTCCCATTAATCTAAGAATCTTGATATGCAATCTTAGCTGTAATAACTCCACATTATCATATTATCCTAGAATAAATAATATTGCACGAAAAGTTAAATTTCATTGTTTAAAAATTGAACGATGTTTCGCATGACCGATTGTACCGCTCTACTTTAACATCGAAATAGTTTAATTGTGATATTTTGATATTGCATCCAGTGGACCATAATTAAAACAATAATAGAAAAAACAATATAAATAATACTTATTATAATAATAGAAGAAATTAATTTAAAATCGTTTATTGATATTTTAATAGCCAATGGCCACTCCACCTCCACGATGATGAGATCGCATTTGAATCAGTTGCGGCAATGTCTTAACCGATTATGCGTTGTTAATACGCATAAAGACTTCATTAAAAATTCATACTCTTTGTTAGATATTTTACAATTACTTCGCAAATCCGCGCACAATAAGCGACGCTTTTGTAATTCAGATAATTTACGAATTACGAATTATTTCCAAAATGGGTTTACAGCCGCGAGTCCGAACAAAAGGCAAGAGTGGCCGGCCACAAGTGTCTACAGTGGCTGTCATAATACGTGCATGAAATTTGTGAATTGCGTGGGGTCAAGCAATTTGCAAATGTGGTCGAACGATCGATCGGGGCTCGCTTAGTTGGTCGATTGGAAGGAATATGGAGCAAAAATAGACGCTGGCCATGAATTTGAAAGTATTTCGTGCTATTTTTAACATATATGCTCATATTATAAGGCAATTTGTGAATTTTTAAAAATGACTTATTTGAAGGGCTTCAATAGAAAGAATTAGAGCAGCAATTAACCCACGTAAGTGAACGTTAACTGAGGTATGTTAGACAAAAAATTTGGAATATTTCAAAAGGCATGTGTGCATAGCTTTCAATTTCGCAAATTCTGTCGTTTAATTTTAATGACCCAAGCAATCCAGCAATTTGCACAAATCGCAGCAACTCTCTCAGTTGCGCATCACATATGTTGTTCGCACTCCGGTTAAGATATCTCTTTTATTTCCCAATAAGTTAGACAATTTAAAATAAACATAAAAGGCAATAAAGTTCTGCAATTTTCCGCTC